CAGCATCGGGAAGTATGATACAAAACAACTATGATTGACATGGCGTGGGGAGACCTTCATTCAGCAACGGAAATGGCCGTAAATTGTGATTGTTATGACCCGGTAGTTGTGTGCACTTGCAGTCACTAGTTTTTTTTGGTTTGGCCATGTTTGTTTGTTGTAGTACGGAGTTAGACTGATGGCCTTAATCTAAGTTGTCTTGTGGTTGTTGTTGTTTGACTTGCATCCCACTGGGATTTTTGCACACAGCGTTGGTGTACGGTGCTTTTTTCTGGAATTTTTGCTGTGTTTTTTCCTGGATTTTCAGTTTGCACGTAGTCACATAGTGACTTTAAGATGTTTTCTTGTTCATGTTTTAGTTTTTGGTTTGTTGCGGTTGCACCCGATTCAAGAGCCGAATGGCTCACAGGGCTATACCTAATACATTAACTTGAACTTGCATTTCAGACTTATATTGGAATGCCATGGTGGCGAGATGTTAATGACCTCGCTTTGTGTACAGGAGGTCGTTTGAACGTTCTCCCCGTGGGCACGTGGATTTTTCTCTAGGTCCTCCCGGTTTTCCCTCCACATTTAGAAACGTGTTTTAAAATGTTTAAAAATATGTTTTTTAAACAGTTTAATTATTTAATTGTATTTTTGTTTCATTATTTAAAAATGATACTGCATTGCTCAACTGTTAGAAATCCTAAACAAAAAGTTTTTTTTTATTTGGTGCATTACGTGTTTCCTTCTGGAATGTTGGCCAACACAGTAATTTTTTTTATTTTGAGAGCTAAAATTGTGTCAAGCACAGTCTTGAAACAAATGTTATTGAACATGATATATATTACTAACAAAAAAAGTGAATCAACATCAGAATACTCCATTTGGAGATTATTCTGGAAATGTTTGTTTGTCTCTAATACATTCAAGGTTTTGTGTACTTAACTGAGCTATGACCAAGCAAGGCATAAAAAACATCATCAAGCTTCACCACTTCGGAGAAAATCTAATGCCCAAACGTGGTATACGTATATATAAACATACGGTGACAAGCAATAAAATTAGATATTAAATGGAAACTAAACAGTTTTAAAAAACAGTGCAAAATAAAACATTACACATGCAGGGTGTTAGATGAGAATTATCCAATGTCTAAATATGGAATATGTACTTAAACTTACTTGTAAGGAAGAGAATGGTAGTGGACAATAAAGTAAAGAGAGATGTGAATTTGAAGGAGCAACTGGTATCAATTATGGAAACATTTAACTTTATGTGTCAATAATGCATTGGGCAGCAATTAAGTATTTTAAAGTAAAATATTACACTAAATACTGTGTAATAGGGATCAGTTTTGGATACAAAATTATAATTTCCATAATGCATCAAATTAAAATGTATTTGTGCTTACAAAGTGATGTCAGCTGATGCCACATGGCCAATTTTGGTAGGGAAAGTGTGGAAATTACACCGAATTATTGAGGTCACAATACGTTTTCAGATGACCCGAAATGTAATTTCCAGTCCTATTTGACAGATTAACCCGAAAATCAGAGGACATACCTAGTATGTGACTGTAATAGTGGTGACACAGTGGATAGCACCATGTATCATGAGCCCAGAAATATTAATCTGATTCCCTACCGCAGTTAACAGCAGGGAATGATATCTAAACCGGCCCCACCCCCACCTTCACCAACCCATAGTGTCCAACGTGGTTAAGTATGGTCGAATAACTCCCATGATAAATACAGCATGGAAAAGACAATTATATCACTATGATTATCACGGTTGGCTACGTATGGTGTGAAAGACGTTCACGTACAGTAGGCATATTGTATTAGCCCTCCAATTATTCTGGACGTATGAGCGTAGCACAACATCAACAGTAAATGGCCTGCTTATCATTTGAACATGCATTCAGGTCAAGCGAATCACCAAGTAGTACTTCACTATATAGTATATTTTGTTATTTCCATGCAGGTGAATAGAAAATAGAGCATAGTCATTGCAAAGTATTCTTGTAAATAACTTCTCCACAAAATCTTAAGAAAAGCAATGAAGTATATTCATTGTGATATATACGGACATAATACTAAACAGGAAGCTCAGCTCAGGATTACATAATAGTTGCTGTAGTCACAGTAACATGTCGCAAATCAAGGGGTTGCCTTGTGTAGATAATGTAATAGGTTACACTTTATAACTGAACTAAGCATGATAGCTATTACAAATCTGCAGCATCATCAAATGCTTTTTTTCATATTGGACGTAGTTTATTTACATGTCATTTACATTTTTATTTATTTTACATTCTCTTTTGCCCCTCTATCTTCTCCCATTTGTTTGCCCTGGTGATGTTTTGTAATGTTGTTCTGTGTTTTGTAAGGCCATTTCAGAAGAAGTTGCAATAGTTAAGAAAAAGAGGATGGAAAAGACATGAAAGAAACATCAAATGCGGGACAGTGCAGACACAGAGAAATCGACAAACCATATCCCAAGATACTTGTTTTTTCCTGGACGTACGACCTTGACAAATTCTTAAGCTTTTCAAGGAGCCAAATGCCTGCAATGTATTGTGTGCATGTATGTGCAATGTTTGGGTGGTGATATCATTGCGAGAAAAACATACTATGTTCTCATATCAAATAAAACTCCACATAAATGATTGTTCAGACAATCTGATGTATATCCATGATAGAGGTTTTTGGGTTAGATCACGTAAATATATAAATGTGTCGTTAAAACCCACCACCACCCGACACAGCCAACTAGTAAGGGTTGTCACGTAAACAGAACATGGCAATTCGTCACTAGTACAGCACATCGGTGTGATGCCAACGGATCTGGGGTAATTTTTAAACAAATGTCCTTGCTTTCAAAATGTAAACATTTTGAGAAGGCTGTGGAAGACAGGCATGTGTGGTTAATGAGCATGCACAACGTGGAATGCATGTTCTACTTGCCCCACTCATCTCCACTCGACAGTACAGAGAAACACACAATCAGCCTCCTTTAATGGCAATTAGAGCATGCGGTTCATATGCCTTTGCTATTTGTAAAAGAATGTTCCTGTGAACGGGACCATTTTTTTGTAATCATTAGCTGCAATTTTGATGTAAAATTTAAAATCCATATTATGCCCATGGCCAGTATTGCTGCTATATGTGTAGCGAAAACATTTTCTTTAAGCGTTGTTTCATCAAACATATCAGTGTGAAGATTGAAGTGTATTTGCAATCATCGCATAAATGTGTAAACTGGCAGAAAACTGAACAAAGCTGAAAGAGAGGTGCATGAGACAGGAAGAGGAACACGTGGATAAGAGAACCTGCACCAGTGTTATTCACTCATTTTCAGAGGAGGGGCACTTTCGCCGATAAGGGCCGCCACACATTTGAAACCATTGCGTTTGACAGCACAATGGCGTGTGTCAGGGGCCGCACTAAAGGTCACCAGGGGCTGCCAGGGGCGCGTGGGCCTTGGAATGAAAAATACTGACATAAAATGTCGTGATATATACAAAGTTTAGAAAAGTGGGCTTGGGAAGGACATCTCTAGAAGGGTTTAAGGCTAATAGTTGAGACTATTAGCCTTCAGAGTTGTATAACAACTCAAAACAATCTTCATTGATTCCTCCTCCTCCTTTGGTAACCAAAGGAGGAAACAATGAAGATGGAGCGATGATATTCATCCAGCAGTGGATAGATCATGGCTGATGACGTTGATAGATATATTAGGGTTGACAGCAGTATTGTAAAGAATGTTTGCAAAGCCAATTATTTTATATCAAACATCCCCATTTAATACAGGAGTCATTAAAAAACAAATTAATATTGCATGCCGTGAAAAAATAACACATTTATTTGAAATGTCCTGAGAATCCATGTTTTATTATATAGATATTCTAACGAGTATGTTGCTATTTTGTTTCGTTTTTACGAAATTCATCACCAGAAGCATTGCAAACTGCCTTTCCTGTTCATGCTGCGGGTAACAAAGACAAATACTCATGGGTCTGTGAGAGGAACAAAGGCAGAACATTCCACGACAGCATGCGATAAGTGATAAATAGATTTTTATGAAGAAAGCAAGAAAATATACAGCACGAAAAGAGTCAGAGAACGAGTTACGCTATCCCGAAAGCTATACAAAGCAATGCTAGTTTTTTGCTCTCTAAATTGGGGTGGAAAATAAATGTATCAACATAGATTGAGAACCGAATAACAATCATGGATTTCATTAAGACAAAATCATTTATCACACAGTTGCGTTCAAGATGATTGAGCAAAATAAAAAATAATGTACACGTGTTCCAAAGATTATGCTAATTGTGTTCTTGTATGATCATTGTGTAGAGCATTCTATGATCCGTGGATGACAAGGGTGCTTTCTAAGTCGGAATTATTAAGATAAATAATTGTTGGAGGGGCACAATTGTTAAACAGATGTTTACCCAGGGCAATTATTTAAGGTGAATCCAAATCAAAATCATGAAATACTGTCGAGAGGTGAATGAAAAAACTGGAATTTATAAAGAAAAAAATATACACCAGTGTGCCTGAATAAGAAAGTTTTACCTGCTATGTTATTGAAACTGACAAATAAAATATTACAAAAGTGAATAAGTATGCAATGACCCGAGAGCTGAGCTTGCATGTACGCCTGATGATGCTAGATGTGATCTCCAGCGAACCGTCGTTTAAAATTGTCAAACATTTTGCTTGCTTTCCAAAATCATGATTTGCTGAAAACACAATTCAATTAGCATATTTGTCAGCGTGGCAACCTGATTTGATTGGCTGTCAGGTGGTGGAGGGTTATAGTTAGAAAAATGGACATTATACACTACACGATCTCACACCAAATAATCTAATTCTAAATCCGCGTGCCATTAGCTAATATTTCATGTGCAAGTTAGACCATGAATGTGACCAAACAATACACTATTTACCTTGCACGAGATGGAGAGGTCATGTAAAGTTGTATACAACTCAAAAGACACATCAAACACATTTTTTAACACGTGTAAGTTTTATTAGAAAGCCTTTGTGTGCATTACACAGGATCTGTATTATGTCACTATAATGATGTTTACACACATATACTCAAGTTAGTAAATACATCGATCCTTAAACAAGATTTTAGTGTTTTCCACAAATGGTCCATTCCATGCATGTGCATAACATACCAATTGTGTGCGGTAAACAGCGGCTGTCATGAACTTTGAAAGGATTTGTTCTTATGTTTTTGACACGCAGTCATAAGGCACACCGTGACGTAACAGCGACTTATGCGTGTAAGTACACTATCAGTAAGGCTTAAAGGCACTCATTCCAGACAAATGATATCGTACGTTTCAGAATTATGTAAGTCTTTAAAGCGATACAAACGATAGCTGTGAAAGCAATAGCAAGCATGATTCACGTACAATGCTTCCAAGATATATGACCATAAAATAAAATTGTTCATTACAGATTTATAAACAACAGACTGCGATAAAACGTCGACACGTAATTTATTATTTTACTATATATATATACACACACAAGGCATAATACAGCAGTGAATAAAAAAAATGTGAGCATTTACAAAGCAAAAAAAAAGAGTGCCTATACATGTACATACAATAAACACCCCAAAACACTCATTCAAGCTTTTTTACATGCTTTTATTAACTCTGTCTGTTGTTGTCGTTGTTGTATCCTCAAATCTTGTAACTCAATTTTAACCCACTTCCCAAAGTGGTATCGACTGCAAACTTGGTATACTTATGTCATACTGATGACAATACTATATTTTATCATATAAAACATATATATATTTTTTGAAACATATTTTTTGCATGTTATGTTTCGGCTTGGGTCTAATTGTCCACGATCAACTGACGTTGGCTGTAATTAGCCATGGTCCCCCTTACGTTATGGCAAGCTTCGGGGTCACTTACTGGAGTCGTGGAGTTCTGCCATTACTAGTACATTTCACAAAAGCGTGTTTAAAAAAAAGGTTTTTTTAAATATTACATATTACTTAATTTTAAGTCCCATTTGGAAGTGTTATACTGAAATAGCAGTTTACAATCGTTGCATAAGTGAACGCATAGCTAAAATAGTTGCTTTTTTTTTTGGGGGGGGGGGGGCATAGTGAATGGTGCAATGAACCCGGTGAGTTTGATTCTCGGCCACGGCTAACACCAGTGGCGAGTGATACCTGAACGAGAAAACTCAACACATTCCTCAATAACAATGCAAAAAAAGAAGACAATGTGTATTTAAAAAATGGCTGGCCCTTCTTCAAAGCACAAAAATGATGATACACCACTGCCCATAACCTCACCAATTATATGTTTTCTTTTAAGGCAGTGTCATTTACAGGTGTGTTGAGTTTTTGGTTGTTGCCAATTCTTCTTGTGCACCACTGTCAACGCAGAAGAATCACCAAATCATTAGGTTTATATCTGAATGAGCGTTGTTCAACCATCGGCAAACCGATGATTGTTTCCAGAATTAACCACCAGTTCCGAAAGTCAGGAACCGGTTACCGATTCCAGTGGAAACCTTCGTAGTTAATGCACCGATCGGCATGCGCGGACCTACAAATGGCACGCTGGTTTAAGTCACCGCGCGTACATTTTCCCCCCTCGTTTCTCAGTTAAAAGGTGAAGGCGCAACTCCACAATTGCTTGCTCACTCCACTGGTGGCAGACGGACCTCCACTAGAGAGAGTTCTAGAGATTGCGTCTATTTTGGCCTACACTTCCACGCTGACCAGACGTCTTGGAAGAGGTTGGAGTACCCACGTTTTACCCCACCACAGGTGACCTTCCGATATATAGTGGTGTACTAAATGTATATTGCTTGGCGGACAGAGGAGAGGGGGTAGGGGATTTAAGAAACTTGTCCAATTTCCACAACTGCTGCTTCAGCAGATGGAATTGAACCGGCCACCTGTACATTTCAAGGCCAGTGTTCTAACAATGACGCAACATCACCTCCGATTAGCAAGGCTAGCTATGTACGGTGCGAAAGAAGTTCTAAAAAATTCACTGTGGCAGCTGCCTTTGTGTCTCAGTTAAAAAGGTAACAATGTTATGCTTATTGCTAGAGATTTCTGTACATGCGGAAAACCGATAACCATTATTTGCCAGCTTTTTTTCACACGGCTGCCTGAAATGCAAAGATGCCACAATTTTAAAGCTCCTAATCTAAAGATGTCCTGCTCACCTTTCTTCACCAACCCGCAAATGATCACGTGGTGCAGTCTGGTTAACCAACCCCCATGACCGAAAAGGTGTGGTAAGACTTTCATCCAGCAGTTAATTGAAAAAGGGTCGTACATTCATTGATGCTACTTTTGCACTTTTAGTCGACAGAAATAAACTTCTGGATTTCATACTTATTAAACAGACCTTTTGAAGATACTGTATAAAGTACATTTCAATACAAAAAGTAGAGGTTACTTCCACTTGACCATCATGAAGTTGGATGTGGATCATATGTTTTGGCAGATGACCAGATAACGTTTTTTTCTTCTAAAAATAAATTCTCACTGCTGGTTAAAATATTAGCAGAAGGAAATGGATAAAATCCCTATAAATAAACCACACTGTACAACATTTTTTATTTTAAGAAAGTGTTGGTAAAATATAAAAGGAAAAATGTAAATACTTTTTCTGCGTTTCCCAAACGTAAGCTATCTTTTTGGGTCACTAAACGCTCGGTATAAATGTTAGTTTTAACTTAGCAATTTTCTTTGAAAAAGCAGCATCATGATAATGCAGTACAGCAGGCGCCAAGAAGCTATGGTGTGTTAGAACAAAACTGGTATTATTATTTTAAATTAATAATTGTAATTTTAATTTTTTTTGTAATGTTATTTTTATTTTCTATCTACGTGACTTTACCGAAAGAACCAAGAATATAAACAAATTCCGATGAAGCATGAAGATCCTTTTTTAAATAATTTCATCCACGGTGTAAATATTTGCTGTTTGTTGCCCTGGCAACAGAGGCATATACAGTGCTGGTATCCAAAGCACACAGGTGAAGACACGCATCTATATTGCTTGTAAATGCAATTTGATAATTAAGTGAGAGAATTAGAAATATAAATCATGCTACTAAACCAAAATAGAATGTTGCTATGCAAGTCTCATGTACCTTGGGATACGGGGGCGTTAACAATTCCAAAGGCAAACGTGCGCACAATAACGAACTTCTTCTCATGTACATTTAATTTCCAGGCAAAGACAATCCCGCCAGAGGCTGCTTACTCACTGTGGGCCAATCATAATAACCGATCAAGTAAAAGCTAGCCTTAGGCTTCGATTGAAAGTATAAATACAAATAGAGTGCATTTATGTTTGAATATCATTCAAGTTCATCTTCTTGGTTCTTTCGGTAAAGTCACGTAGAACGGAAATAATAAAATAAGAAAAATAAAACATGTCTCCCCGACAGACCTGGTCTTCACCTGAGGACGGCTGCTTACGTTGTGGCCGAAACGTCGTGAGAATTATTTTATTATGTTTTATTTTTATTATTTTATTATTTCCCTTCTACGTGACTTACCGAAAAAACCAAGAAGATGAATCCCTGCAGTCACGAAAGCTTTAAATCAAAACCATTCAAGTTAGCGTGCCACCTCGGGGGTACGTGGGTGCGACTGGATGTATTGCTATCATGTGACTTCATGTGGCCTCAAAGTGCACCTGGCCTGGCACAGGCGACGTGGTGACATCACCGTCACTTAGTGGCGAATGGCGGGTGCTGTTGTTGTTATTGCAAACAGCGTGGAGGGGAAGAGTGCCAAGGGATGGAGTGATGTTGTCCAGGCAATAAACCAAGCAAGTGACTTTTCTGAAGTCCTACAGATGGATCATATATTATCCGAGTTGCATCATTTCTGCCATCCACATGTGATAGACAATTTATCCTCTGTCCAGGACAAAGTCAGGCATGTGGTGGCCTTCTATACGATACCGTTCAAGCACAATCGACTGAGCTCAAATTGCAATCACCGTAGTAATTCGATGTCAACTGTATGACAAATTTGAAGGTTTGTTGTATTTAATGAAGAGGTATCAAAATTATTGCCAATGCATGAAAGTGCCTACATACTAAGCCAACACCAAGTAAAGATATCTTTCTTCAGAGAAAAAAAAACATGTGTATTTGCATGAACAACAATATAAAAAAAATAATACAACTATTAAATTATTCCTAACCGACATTCAAAAATAAGGCATGAAAGAATTCAGACATTCACGAATCCGGGGCCGCGTGAGCCGTTAATGTCTAGTGAGCCCCGTTCAGGCTCGGCTGGGCCACGGCTTCGTCGCACGCGTCCATGTGGACGGCACGAGCCTCCCTGGGCAGTCGGTCCAGCGCCATTGTCAAACCGTCCTCGTCCCCACTCCCGCAGTCAGAGTCCACCTGCAAAACAAAAATGTCAAACGCCGAAAACAGAAAGGAAATAAACTTTTTAAAAAATGTATTTCAACTCAATGCGAGCTCGGTACGTAGGACCGATCACAGAACAAGAAGGTGGAGGGCAGAGGTCACACAAGCAAAAGTTTGAGATTGATGAGGGAGGGCTTGGTGAAGAGGGGTAGATTGGGCTCAATGTCCCACCCAGGTGGGGAACCTATAGCAGAGAAATTAAAGTTTATATGGGGCGGGGGGGGGGGGAACTAAGTTTGTAATTCAGAAAGGTAACTTCTTAAACCATTTTATTGTACCATCTGAAAATGTTTGTGGAATGATGGCGACGACGCATGTAAATGAGGCTGTCACACATTCTGCCTGCACTGATCTAGGGTGTGTATGTGGTATGTGTGTGTGCTCACCATGTGGGTAGTGCAGGAAGCATGGTTCTGCTCAGTTCCAGCTTTGGGCATGTGTGCACGTGAGAGCTGGTTGCACAACCGCACCACTCGCAATGAGAGCTGGGAGAGAAAAAAAGGGGAAACCGCATTTTCAATACGTTCATTGCTATTTAAAACTGGATAGTCGGTGAAATGTTATATGTTGCGCCGGGGAACTCCAGCCACACCATGTAAATTGTTGTGCATTGCTTGACTTATTAAATATCACAAAGATGATGTCCCATTACAGAAGACAGCACAGTTTCCGTGGACATTGAACTCATTCGGTTAACAACGAGTGGTGCAAATTTGTTGATAAATAACATTGGTTATCCCTACTTGTAAATTAGCAAAGAAGGGACATAGGGCCGGGAGCTACTTACCTAGAAAATCTATACATCCAAGAAACGGTTACTTGTTGTATTATAATGTTTAATGCGAGCTACACTTACCACTTCAATTTGTAAAAAAACCGGAACACCCCTTTATCATTCCGTCTTTAACCAAGACAGCCTTTCTATGACTAAAGTAATATTTACACTGATGATTCTGAATATTTGATTCACATTACAATGAGTGTTTATACTTGACATAATGCGATATGAATATTGAAAATTATCAGCGTTATCCACGAATATTTGTCCCCAACAACAATAATGTTCTCCCTCATTATGAATAATCTAGTTTTCATACTCTTTGGTTCTTTCGGTAAAGTCACGTAGGTATTAAATACTTTACCGAAAGAACCAAAGAGTATGGATTCCTGCAGTCACGACAGCTTCAAATAAATCTAGTTGTCATTACATAAAATTAATTGTGAGGATATTTTACATTTAAAATATGTGGGCTGACACAAATAAAACATTTTCACAAGGTGACTCTCTTGCATGAAAGTAGTTCCCAATGATAATAAACAGGAATGGCTTCATCATCACATCCTCAGAGTCAAGTCAATGCATCTCATGCATTGTGACGGTGCCCATATCCATTGGAGATCCTTTGTCAGTTGTGGAAATTCCACATGATGATGGCAATAGGTTGCTATCCTGTATGTGCAAGAGTATAAACATCAACCCACATGCTATATTTAAAGAATAGCCTGCTACTCCGATTAGCACGGTTGTCTGTGTACGGTGCAAAAGAAGGTGAACATGCATGCATACATGCAATAGTTTACAAGGCAATAATGTGAAATATAGAACAGCTTTTGTCATTTTAAGAAGAGCTTTCAGAAGGTGATGAATCGCATACCCTCCACTTCCTGCGTGCATTGAAGCTCTTGAGATTCTCCAGGTTAATGAAGGACAATTTTCTGTGCAGCAGTTGATGTTTGTCCTTTGGCTGGAAAATGAAATCAGAATGAGGTAGGAATTATGAAACAGGTCAAATTGACACGAAGCAGCAACAATCCACTTTTTTTTAATACATTGCACGTTGCAGAATTCCAATGATTGACTTTTAAATCATACAGGATAAATATTTGAGACTCAACACCCGGTGCCAGGGAGGGATTTTTGTTGTTGTTATGGTTTGGTGTTTCTTGGGACCAATGATTTGGACTGTTAAAATAAGTTCAAGTAAAATATATTGTATTTAAAGCACATTCACAGTTATAACTGAACTTTGTGTATCTTCAGGTCTTTAATGCAATCTACATTGAGAGTTTCAACTATGTTTTTGTTATTATTTTGATGATCATCATGAATTTAAGCGAGGTTGCCTTAAAGTATCGATGCAGTACCTTCCCAAAAGACACGTTGATATCAATTGGCTTCATGAAAAGGTCAAATAATTCAAAATATATTATTTTCAATGAAAGTTACTGTTGAAATAATCTTAGCTTCGTGTATACTTTTTCCAAATGATTTATTAATGCGATTTTTGTATTTAAAAACGTGTATTCAAGTGTACATAATTACATATTCTCAAATATAATATTTTAATTTACATTTCATCAAAGATGAAGAATACATAAGGAGGTATGCAAAAAGTATTAAAATGACAGATTAGGTAAGCAAGAGGAAGTTATTAGTAATGAGAAATTAAACGTATGCTCTATTCGAGATTACTGTATTTAAATTTGCTTTCACATATGTGCTGCATATAGAGTGGTGACACAGTGGGTAGCATTACGAGCCTCGTGAGTTGATTGAGATTCCCGGTCATGGCTAACATCAGTGACATCTAGGTTTGTCCAAGGCCCCCCTTTAATACATCCATACTGAATCGCATGGCGGATGTATTGACAAATACATATCACCCATGACCAATACAGTGTGGGGAGGCCCTATTCCAGCCAGAGAATGATAAAGAGCTGACAGTTATTTACACGAAGTATGTTAGCCCTGGGTGATAAAAGAAAATGTGTGGACTTTGATGTCTGCAGTCAAGGTCTATGCTCAAGAGAGTGAAAATGTGAGGCTGCAGTGCTAATCCAATATATATGTTGCATTGTTTGGGTAACTTTATAGGAATGTAATGAGTCACTCGGCCCTATCCTGGCCCTCCAACCCCTCTACTGCCACGCCATTCAGTGAATTGCCACAATTCAGGATTAAAGTTCAGTAATCTTAAATTTTTTCAAATCTTGTTTCTTGATCTTGTTTGTAGGTGTGATGCAATCCACCAATTCAAGAATTTAAACTGAATTATACACTCATGATATATGCCTTGAGTTGTTCTTGTAAGACTTAATTATTTACAATCCCTGCAGAGTTTGTGCAAATTATGACAAAACGTTACCTTGCGGCGAATGCAGCGAGACAGCGTGCGCGCAAGTCAAATTACAACACAACACTTACAAACCAGACGAAAAGTCATTGTTGAACCGAATCGTGACAATTCAAAAAATCAGGAGGTGGGCGAATCATTGCATGCCTGCTCATCTCTATCACTCATTATGCGCGGTGGAGGAATCCAAGAATCACCCCGTAATGAAAGCTACATCCCTGCTCGGTGGAGCAGCCCACATCTCAAACATGAAGGACTGAAACAACTCAAATGTGGACTTACGTTTTAGTCAAAACTTGATAGTGAACCAAAATGCATAACTGTCACACTTAAACATTCTGCGTCTTCGCACTATCCTACATTATTTAAAAGTAGTTGTTGAAAAGCAACAGATGCTCAGGATAATAAATGCTCTATTGACCCAAAGGCCATGTGTTACTTGAGCACCCTATCCGCTTGAATGCACACACTCCTGCAACCAGCTGCACAGATATCTGCTCAGTTGGGAGCTGAACTTTGAACCCAGCACAACATTTTGCTCAGCCATTCTGCTCTCCAGTTCCTTCAAAGCATTCCACTGCAGTATCCAGCTTTCGCTGGCCATAGCACATCTGTGGTGGCCCTTGCTGGTTCCTCTCTGTCTGCCTGCCTTCCATGAGCTGCTTCTGATACAGAAAGTCGCATTATGAACTTCTTGGAAGCAGTCTCAATGTGGCCAGAAATTATTTCGTTTCTGCCAGGTTTGCTAATAAACATGAGTAATACACAGTCACCTTGCTTGGTGTTCGGGGAGAGTATGACTTAGTTTTATACTTGTGAAGGCACGGAATCCATCTCTAGTGTCTGCCCTCTGCCCTTTAATCGCCAGATCATACATTCCTCTGCACATTGCTCTCCAGTACAGAGATATGTGAGCAACTGTATCGCACGCTTTTGTCAGGCAGTGTGATGCCTCCATCTCCAGGCAGTATGATGCCTCCATGTTCAGGCAGAAAGTGCCTCTAACGACGGAGGGGAAACGTCACGAAGCAGTAAGGAGCAGCGCTTGCCACGGCTATCCCAAAAGGGCAGCTTTTAAGAGCATTTCTCAATAATATACCGTACTTTTTAACATTGATTCACTATTGTTAGTGGAGTTATTTTGTTTTACTTTATTTAGTTTCACAAAAATTGTCACTATCAATAATGTAAGAATGCAATAATTGTCCATGGATGATTCAATCAATGCAAAAATATTTCAAACACAACGTGATATTTTTGGACTACTTAAAAAATTGTAACAGGACTTCTAAAGATTTGCAAAACATTCCATGTCAGCAGCTAATGTTTTTTTGCAATAAGCCACGTAACAGATTCCACTGAAACACACAAAAAAATACATTTCCAAACATCTTTCGCAAATTACTTTGCATTTCATCTGCAGGACCAACATTAATTTCATTCAAGACATTTTGTTCTCTGACCACGTCACATTTTTGAAGGAACATGCACTATCGTGCCAGCAGGCAAGATTCGGTCAGGTGTGGACTTGGCAAACCCAGGCAGTAACAAGCACACACGCAACAATTTATGGTTGTGAAACATCTACCGCACTGTCAAGAAAAATTACGAGAAAAATGCAGTTTCAATGCTTTCGCACGCAGGTATGAACACAGCTGAAAATTTTCTTCACGGAATGCTTGGGTAAGTTAGGTCTAATCCATTGAGATATACAATATTTCCATAAAATTTACCTAACATTTAGGCTTTTACCTTAATAATAATTTCCATTAGTAAGGCTCAATTCATCCGTATATCCCAATGCGCCATGTACGGAAAGCATGAAATAAACAAATCCGGGTAAACGACCAGAACTAAGGAATGAAGGCCAGTTTAAAGTTGTCTTTTTTTTAAGACAGACTTAACATTTATAACTATTCTGATTGTCTTATTAGCAAAGGCAAAGCGTTCTAAAGTTTGGGAGCTGCATTGGCATAAGCCCGATCACCTCGGGAAATAATCCGTGACCTCTGAGTACTCAGAAGGAGGAGATCCAGAGCTCTCAAGGACCTCGTTGGAGAGTAAACATTTGATCAGTTCCTGTAAATATTGCGGGGCTAACTCATTGGGGGCCTTGTAGGTCAGCAGCAGGATCTTAGAGTCCACTCGATACATGACTGGTAGCCAATGCAAAGACAAGACATCAGCTATGATGTGCTCGCGAGAGCACTACAAGCTGCATTCTGAATTATGCAGCCGACTGATATTGCTCTGAATAATGAAGTTTGGATTTCACACAAGGCATATGTGGCTTGTTAAATGATATTTATGTTAACACAGCTTCACATTCAAGTGGAAATGCCATAGTTCAGCGGTAAGCAAAGGTTAGTTCTTAATTTATAGACTTTGAAAGCAAAGACAGATATTCTTGGAGGCATATGAAAATTGCAGCATTTCTTAATGCAGGTGCACATACCAGCGAATATGTGGAGCTATGGAAAGCACAGGTTGTGCCCACCTGCTACACGGAATGTTACAGTGACAGATTTGCTGACAGCTCCGGTAGCTTGCAATCACTGTTTTACATCCCCAGCTGGTGTGACTGTTCATGTTCTCTATTCGTACAACAGGGCCTGTTCGATAGCCTACCCTAACCTGCAATCAACTGCCGAACACTGTAATTGCTGAGGTCAGCACCCAAAATGTTAACTCGAGTGCATTGGGCTTTGATGGTTTATAACGGTGGCCACAGAAAAATATCATGTTAAAGATATACCGAAGAGCCACATTCAAATCTAAGGGAAAAAATTACATTAAAACGGTTTAAATGTATTTATTGGCAATGTAAAAGTTATCAATCTAAGAAAACATGAGTAAATATGTTACAGCTATAATCTCACTATTCCTGTCTAAATATGAAGAGTTTCACGTTCGTCTCTAGCATTACCATAAAAGGCAATATATATTTTCGTTAAAGTTTCATGATTTTGTCTGTATATTGATCGTTTTTCCCATTTATGGCATTGCTATTGACGGATGTTTTGAGTTTTCGTTGTGTTTGCTTCTGCATATGATTGCGAACAAGCAAACATATGCATTTTAACAAAAAAATGTTTTGTGTTTGTCTGTGATTGGATTTACGCTTAAATAAGTTTCTGCACTTATAGTATATTGCAGTGTAATACATTGCAGCTTTTAATCCGTACATATTCACAATTGAGTAGACATGCACGATAGCAGCTCATATTTGCAATTGATGTGTCTTGCATAGACTTAAATAATGAAATAATATTTGCCAAAAAATGGCATATCAAATGACAAACATCTAATTATGTAATAAGCATTTAGACATTGTTTGGTACATTACTATGAATTACCGTATTGTGTGATGTACAACTACAAAAGCCGCTATTGTATTCAGTGTTTTCTTTGTATATATATTGTCAATTTTAAAATCGTCATAAAAAACCCCTGTATAGTTATCATAACATTACACATCGCCCACATCGTCAAAAACTAATGTAAGAATACTCCCTTAAAGAGTTGAAGAAAGGAAAATACAATTCCAACCAATAGACATTGATCATTTTATAAAGTGAAAAAACAAACCCTGGGAACATTGAGTAAAGTACATGGAGTCTGTAACATAAGCTTTAACTACACATGGTTGCAGAGTGATGGGATTAGTTATGACAGCATTTTTAGTGGAAGAAGATGTTTAAGAATAAATGACCAGAAAACACAAAGCATACGTGGATTAGAGGGAGCCAATACATCTGTTAGCAGCCAAAGCCTTAATGTGTAACAGACTTGGCTAACAATAAACAGGCTTGATGGAAGAAAAGCCATGCATATGAATCAATATGTTAAATATATGACGAATATGACGAATACCCTAAATGTGTTTGTCCTATTTTTATCAATAATTTTCTATTTATTTAATATGACTTTATATATAGTCCATTTAAAACAGTCTGCATCAGCAACAGGCCATGCTTTCCCACCTGATGACGGATGCTTGTGTTGCGCCCGAAACGTCGTGCTTTAATTTAGTTGTTTTTCATTTATTTAATTTATTTATTTTCACCTACGTGACTTTACCGAAAAAAAACAAAGAGTGTTTCTATATACTCATTTATGAAAATGTCATGAAGGTAATGAACATTTTAGAGATGGCGGACTTTTCCCAAGGGAACATGCCCAAGAGGAAGATCGCTGCTGAAGAGATGGAGAGAGCCCTCTGTCAATCCACTAGTGGCCCTAGGCCTCCTCATGCCGTGCAGGTCATTGGGGTTGTTTGGTCATATTTCACTACGGTGATTTGGCGAGGTCAGGTTGAGATAACACCAGAGGTCGTCGGGTTCATAGCTGAGTGCCCAGACTATTGCACCACTGTACCCACCCTAGGATCATGTTTTTTGCCGTAAGTATACACACAGTAAGTTTATCAACATTTTTAAAATTAACAATATGACATGTAACTTTAATTACTAGGTGCCGTGTACATCATGAGAGCACGAGTGCATACAACAAAAGCGTAAATGTTTGATCAGTTCGCTCATGGATACATGACGTAAAAGCATACCTTAATCCAAGGATGGTGTATGGCCTCTTCAATATTCATTCTCTCTCTATGAAAGAAAATCATACATTACCGTGCACACTTAACCTATACAGAACCTCATTATGATTATTGTATATTCCAATAAGGTGGCAGCTGGCCCTGATGATTGTTATTAATTTCTGGAAGGCATGCTTATCAGTTGTCGGCCGCTCTTAAGCTTGCATGTCACCTTTGCTATTCTAAATTACCATCTAGACTTTGATTTTGCATCTAATGACGGACTTGCCATGCTGTTGTGATATTGCTGTGTGCCCTTTCAACATGGTTTGATCCACACTGTTGCACATCCTCTCCTTTCGCACCTTCATTTTCCAGCCATTATTTTGGCACTGTCTGACGGTTACACATCCCTCTCTGGTGACAACAGCAGATGCCTAGCATGCTCGAAGTCACTTGGCAGATCACAATGTTTATTTTACTTGCTCACCAGGCAGCAATGAGCAAATTGAAATGACACTCATAAACTATCTTCTTGGTTCTTTCGGTAAAGTCACGTGACTTTACCGAAAGAACCAAGAAGATGAATCCCTGCAGTCACGAAAGCTTTAAATCGAAATTTAACTCATGAACTAATTTGCCTTATTACGTGAAAGGAAATATTGTTAAATGCAAAAACATTGCATTTCAAATAAAGAAAATAGAATGCACCTTTGATAATTTTGGTAACTGCACAACTGCTGTTTAATGTAACAGCAGAGTTAATAATATAACATTCCTTGAGAGTATTACTCTTTTTTGTTATCAAGTAATTATACATTGATTAATAATTGAAAACACATCAGTTGTCTATGCAACGCATGTGCTAAACGTCTAAAACTATTCAAAATTTCACAATTAAATCATTAAAAGATTAGTCGTGTGATTATATAATCACACGACTAATCTTTTAATGATTTAATTATCTCCAATTGGATGTAAATGAATAATTACATAACTGAGGCATTTAGTGACTTTTTCAATTATTAGCATTAAAAACATTCATTCCAACATTTTCCACAATAAAACAATGTTATAAACCTAAAATGTGAGTTTAACTTTTACAAGCCCTGTATAATATTTAACACATGTATTTGTTCAGGAACAAATTCTTAATATCCACATATATAACAAACATGATGTTTCACTCTTATGGCCAACACCAAGTGACGATTATCTGAACTGGTCCTGGGCCTCCACTAGGTCGACTCAGCCTCAAATGGGTACCTGGTACGCCACTGGGGAGACAAAGGTGACCGGTGTGGTGCTGGTCACCCACCCCCTCGTGTGCCGTGCCAGCCTTCATAGGTGATGCTCGCTAACAGCACTTGCCCCAACAGTCTGTTAAGGCTATACGGTGGACCTTTGTGTACCAAGCTCTAACTAATCCCAGGCCAATGCTTGTAGCAATCAGAATTGGACATATTGTATTTGCCCATGACGGAATCAGAAGCTAAGCTGAGTTAACTAGTGCTTGGATGTGTGACTGCAGTGCATACAAAAGGCGTTATAGACTGCTGCTGGACTACATTGTCACCACAGTGTGACAAAATCCATTGTTGTACTGTCCTGTGCTTCAGTGTCTATGCTTCCCACCAACCAGCAAGTATGGGCAGAACGTATACGAACAACCATGAGTTTCAGTCCTTACTTGGGGCTTTTTAAAAGCAGCCTTTGAATGAAATTTTTGGCAAGAGCGCTGGTCTGCTTGAAATACTCCTCGTCGAACTGGTATTCCACGGCTGAGATGTTGCTCAGGGTCTCCTCCTTGGTGTCACCCAGGAATGGGGAGGCCCCACTCAGCCTGCGTGGATGAAAGGGAGAAACGATGCAGGTACGGGGGGTGAAGGTGTGGGAGGGTGAACACGAGGACAGGGTCACACGAGGAGGGGGGTTGGGTCACATGAGATAAGTCACACCGGGACACCAAACGGGTGTCTGTAACCAGCCTGAGATGAACCCTGACGATATGGTTTATACTGTCTAGGGTCTGCAATCTTAATGTGATCTTGAAGCCTCCCTGATGTGCAATGACTTGACAAATTCGCCAAACCTCTTGCTGGAAAAGTCGTAGGTTCCATTGGAATGTTATAAAGTAACTTTAAAAAAACATGTATGCAAATCTCCCTGCCACTAACCAATCCACACTCTTAAGTCTCTCTCGATTTGCAAACGAAAGAAAAAAGTCATGAATTCACCTTGAGGCTTGAGCGAACGCGTTTAACCAAGTGTACTTAGAACAGTACTGTAATGTTCTCATTGATTAATGTAAATGTACTCCTATACTAAAATCTATGGCATGTCACTTAGAAGTTAGTCGAGAAAAATCGAAATTCTGATGACAAGGTTCAGTCCTCCACACCGCAACCACTGTTGATAAAACGCGCATGCTAAGCTAAAACATGTCCATGCTCTGATGCGTCTATGCAAAAAAACACGATACTGAAGACAACATAAATATTGTACGACATATGCAAAGTAGTTCTATGACCAAATCACCCAGAATGCCGCAAATCCCATCAGACCTCGGAAGTCAAAACGGAGGTGAGCCTGGCTAGCTCTCGGATGGGTGACCAACATGTTCGCGGACAGGCGTAGAGGGCAGTGCAGCAAACTCCACTGTCGTTCTGCACTCCCTGCCACCTTTACCCACCCCGCACATTGGATAGTGGTGAAGTATGGTGCAATAACCCTCACAGCCTGCACGGCGTGGAGACATCCCCACATCCAGCAGTGGATTGACAAATGGGCTGTGCTTGTGCACAGCAACTCGCTTTAAATAAAATGGAATCGCTGCCAGTGTGTTGTTCTCTTCATTCTTTTTACCGGTAACGCAATATGGGAAACTAAGCGGCAGTTTATTCCAGATCGAGGACTTTACAGGGTCGTCCTGTTCAGTACGCCAACATTATGTCTCGGGCTGTCATGCCGTAGCTGCACTGTCTGCAAAGTGGGACAACAAACTCGGAAGATATACGAATAAATACACTTCACATTGTTGAAACGTTCTTCACCGCACCGACTGTACTGGACATCTGTGAAAAAGAGCTTTATAGCTCATCGGATTCCTCCAGTATAAATAAATATTCAGATTCTTTGTCAAAAAGTGCATTCATAAACACATGATATAATCTAAAAATAATACTGTGAAGAGTCACAGTTGACCATATATACTTACAGAATGTATGTCATTACTCCAATGCTCCTGAAAAAAAAATACGTTTGGTTGGTTTTAAAATTGACAAACACAATAGAACACAAAACTGTACAGTAAAAACTATTTGGATTCATATTGCAAATGTTGTGCTTATTTTTATTATTAATATGATATACCCAGGAAAGCCGCACTGAATCTCAATAATTTTCAGGATGGTCCTGCCACATTTTTGCAATAGTAGTATAATTACCGAGAAATTTAAGGTATTTTTCAATATTGGAATTTTGGGATGTTACATTTAACGTGTTTTTAGCTTTTTAACATTTATGCAAGTCTATAACTATTATAGATTTGAAGTTTTCGTGACTGCAGGGATCCACATACTCTTTGGTTCTTTCGGTAAAGTCACGTAGGTATAAAACATAACTATTATTCAATGCAATTATTTAATTTATTATTTTATCTTTATACGTGACTTTACCGAAAGAACCAAAGAATAATAACTATTATTATAGTTGTATTAACAAGTAGAACTTTGTCCATCTTAACCCACCACATATCAGCTTGCACTCCGAGAGGCTCGTAGTTGACAATCTCTGGTGCTGTAACAGACAAAGACAAAGATCCCCCTTATAGCCTTAACAGACTGTTGGGGCAAGTGCTGTTACCAAGCACCTATGAAGGGCGGAATGGCACACGAAGGGGTGGGAGGCATGCACCACGCCCGACCGCCTTTGTCTTCCTGGTGGCCATGTTTACACATCGAGTGCAATGCATTAGATGCATACGAAACGTCTCTGCTGTTCTAGTATTCCTCATCTGAGTGCTGGTGAATTATGTCCAGGGAATGGATTTTTGGTGAGGACCAAATATATTTTGATATTTTGTCAAAGTGTCAACATCATCAAACAGGCACAGGTCATGCTCATTTCTATCGATGGCCCTCAGCCAGTGGTGGAGTTTCCCAGTTATTCTGGCATGGGCCAAAATAGTTTGGGACTGTCTTTGCTGTTGTTTTGCTGCCTTACCCAAGCTTGAGAATTGGTGTACTTGTGCAATTTGAACTTATATACTTTACTAATTTATTTATTTATTTTTAGTGATTTGCTTACCTTTCCGAAACTTTGCATTGCTATCGTTGTATGTAATGTTTTTTGTTGCAACTCTCTGACCTGGATATCTGTGAAAAAGAGCTTCATAGCTCATCGAGTTTATTCAGGATAATTATTAAAGCCTACAGCAATATCAGAGTGGCACTGCATGTATGAGTATTTCTTAAAGCGTTTTACAAACAAGGCACAAAAACAAGAATATCTAATGTCTGTCTTGAGTTACGTTTCTGTATACAGATATCCCTCGATTCACGATAGGGATGCGTTCCTCAAAAAACACGCTTGTAAAACTACATTTTGTACATCGAATTGGCTTTTCCCATTAATTTAATATGAAAAATCAGGGATGTGTATAGGACAGTCATTCCAACTACTCTTAACCTAAAAAAAGATAACACCTATATCACTTTTCACAATACAAAAATAATAAGAAAGAACATAGATATTAAAACGATTGAATAATAGTTAACTGAAACAAAAAAATATCAACGTTTTCAGCGACCTCACCAAAAGATCTGCATTTTGGAATGACTGGAAAGGTGATATGGCGGCGTTACTGTCGCACTGCAGGGATACCGTGACGCCGTCGTGGATGGATGACGCAGCCTCCCGGGTGGTTCATTTGATCTCGTTGTTTGCGTGCCGTGTGAAATTTCGTTCACGTGGAAATTCGATTTCGTAAATTGAAAAGTGTCCAGAATTTGTCAATTGCATTAACGTGACATTTTGTAAAACCGAACATTCGTAAATCTACTTGTATTTCAATGTTACTAGAAATGAGGTCATGCTCTTTGCTGTGACTATCTTACAGATAATGTGTGACTTTGTGTTTTCCGTATCATGTTCTGAAATATCTTAGAATTATGCTTCGTGCTGATATTGTACTTATACTCTATAGTAAGCGTTGCCTGTGATAAGTCAATTGTATTTATATTATTTGTATTTAAGACAACATCTGAAAAAACTTAAACTGTGTGCAAAGTCACAACTGAAGTTAGGCTTCTAAGATACTGCATTGATGACTTTGAACAAGTTAAAAACTTTGCCGTGGCTGCAATCGTCTTTCATTGACTTTGCAGTTGCCTTTGTTCCACTCTACTTTTAGTTAGCATTGCATTGGATATGTTATATTCATGTTTTATTCCTATTAATACTATTAAATTATAATTCCAGGGTTTTGTTTTTTTACTTAGGTACAGCTTTAGAGAATACATGCGGTTTATCCATAATTGTAATATTTTATTGGCAAAAGTGTCAGATCGGAATCTCTGGATGCGCGCCTCCGATTCCCCGCACGATTATCACAGCTGGCTACGTATGCTGCGAAAGAAGTTCAACATACATGCAATACAAGGGGCAGTATATGCATGGCATATTTGTGCATCATTTCAGCACTTTGAAATTCTGCAACATTCAGTGCCATGTAAATCCTTATCCTTAAAACCCTTACCTACAAATTCAGGTGTCCCGAAAATATGTCTAAACTCCACACCATCCACAATGCTCTGCGCCAGTCCGAAGTCAATGATCTTGACATTGGCTTTAGGTGCACGGTTTTCCAGCAGCATTATGTTCTCAGGCTTAACACAGGATAGAAGGAGCACACAGTCCTGTGATGAATACTATTTCAAAAGCACACCTACTTATACTAAAATCAATCGACTCAGTCACAGTGTTATACAGTGTAACAAGTTCAAGTTCATTTATTAGGTATAGCCCTGTGAGCCATTCGGCTCTTGAATCGGGTGCAACCGCAACAAACAAAAAACAAAAACATGAACAAGAATACATCTTATAGTGACTATGTGTAACATAGTGACTATATGTAACATGCTTGATATCCATACAATTAACTGCATTTTTGAAGGCCCATGTGCAGGGCTATAAGGCTCACAAGACGTGTAGTTTTTTTTCTTCTTCTTCAAAAGAGACATAAACTCCATAGCATAACAAAATCATGGCGATGTTTTCTTAATACACTGGACAAATGAGTTTGTAATGCATTTTAAAATGTGATATGGTTTGACATCAAGTCGAGTCATGTAATAGGGTTAATGTATGGGATTTGCTGAGAAGAGATCTGTCCATATATTTTTTCCCATGATTTAACTAAACTGCATCATACACTCTTACACTATTGTTTCACTATTTAATCGACTCCAAAGGAATGATTGGCTGAGTCAAACTCCAAACTATACAGGCGTCAGGCTCAGGATCGAACCCACAACCTCTTGTATACCAGACAAGGAAGATAACATCTCGTAACCGTGACACCTTAACTTGATTAACAGAATTTGAAACATGGGGTAGAGTGGTGGCACAATGGTTTGCACCCTGTACTGTGAGTCCAGCCACGTGAGTTCAGTTCCCGGCCAAGGCAAACCCCCCCCCCCCCACTCCTAGCACAGTGATGCCTTCATCCAGCAATGAATTGGCAAAGGGCGATACATTCCTGCTATTTTAATATCGAGAATTGTAAGTGATATAACATCAATGTCCTATTGAATAGAAAACTGATAATAACGTAAACATATGATGATAAGTTCACGTCTAAAAATGTCTTTGCAAAGGCCAATATCTTGTGGAATGTGCGGTTAACAAGAAAGCCTGGTTTACATATCCGGGTGTATTGCAGTTCCCTCGCTTTGCAAAGAGATTCGGTAATAGCGAGATATGTACATATTCTTGGGTTTTTTCGGTAAAGTCACGTAGGTAAAACATTAAAATTAATAAAAGTAAAATAAAATAAAAATCACGACGTTTCGGAGGCAACACAAGCTTCCGTCTTCAGGTGGAACCGTCACAGCCACGACAGCTGTATCAAGTAAATGAGAGAGTGCAGGAGCTACCACTCCGTTTATATACCATTATATTATATACCATTATATAAACGGAGTGGTAGCTCCTGCAATCTCTCATTTACTTGATACAGCTGTCGTGGCTGTGACGGTTCCACCTGAAGACGGAAGCTTGTGTTGCCTCCGAAACGTCGTGATTTTTATTTTATTTAACTTTTATTAATTTTAATGTTTTACCTACGTGACTTTACCGAAAAAACCTAAGAATATGAATCCTTGCAGTCACAACAGCTTCAAATCGAGATATATACAGTTGCACCACACCTCCCATACACAATCTGGGTTCAACTAAATAATAAATACGTCTTGTTCTACAGGTTTATTTGCTCTGTTAGTCTACATGTAACATGAGCACACCGCTTGCATTGTGCATAAATAACCGATTCTCGCAAGCATGATTCCATGTGTATATCATAAGTGTAGGAATCAATTTTACTCGATTAATCGATACATCCTTGCATGCCAAGTAAGAATGGGCGAATGTTCTCGACTGAGAATTAATTTCCGGTGCGTTTCTCTCACCTTGAGATCAAAGTGGGCTATGCGCCTGCAGTGCAGGTAACTCACACCGTCCAGAATTTGCTTCAGGAACTCTGTGGCTTCATCCTCTGACAGCGACTCCTTGTGAGCTAGGAAATCAAACAGCTCCCCGCCAGATACCCTGCAAGGCATTCAGGACATGAGCAGCTCAGCGTGAGAAAAATATAGCCGCCCGTTGTTATGACCCACAACGAATCCTACTTGTGGCCCTCTTTACCCCTCATCACAGTACACATGGGTAGGCGCAGTCAGACAACATCACTGATTTGGGCATTGTGAGAATGTTTGACTTGCTCATGGCAGGATACGCGTTTAATCATTGTGACACGTGAGAAAGTCAATGCATAACACATGTATTACATGGCACAAGCAGCGAGTGATATGGCTTTCGTTGGTCTTATGCAACACTGCATGGGGTACATGTTATGGGAATCAATTCGAAGTTTGCAGGAAAATAAAACTGTGATAAAACATCCGACGGTCAAAAAATGTTAGTTTAAAAAATGTATTCTAATGCGACTGTTATATACTAAATCTTAAAAATATTCGTGCAATCCATAAACTCCCACTAAATGGTTTTGTTGAAATATCGTTTCCCCCCCACGGAAAGAAAACAACTCCTGTTTTTTTTACTTGCTACATATTTTGTAGGAATGCTGAAACAGCAAGAATCAGATTTGAGTAACACTAAATCACACTAAATCATATGGCTGTAGCGATAATCGAATTGCAAACTTGACTATTGCTGCTCTTTGTTTACCCCATTCCCCACCAGTGGACTGGCCACGACTGCCAATAACACTGCATATGTTAGTCTTCAAATGCCTGTTACGTACAACATTTAAAAATAAAACATTGCAATGCGAATGTTGAAACGAATGATAGCATCACGGGCATGACTGTGAATTATTAACATAATAAATTAGAAACATTATTTACATCATGAAATAAGAATGTAATGCCTAAATAAAAGGTTGTTGTTAAGTGGTTGGAGTTTTTTCTCTCAGACAGTTGAATGAATGGATGATTTTGTATTGTCACTAATTCAACCAGTTCTAGGTAGCGTCAAGATGAAAATGTTCTGTAAAGCTTACACTACATAACCAAAGCACATTTGTGAAAGCGTCTGTGCTATAAGAATGGCACAAACACTAAATTAACTTACTTTATTGGTTCATTATGGTTTTATGTGTCCTTACATTTGTCATAAGTAGTCATCCATCCGCATGCCCATCCAACTGGTGGATGTCAACTCTACACCTTTCATTATTCCCTTACCTACGGTGCTGACCATTCAGATGATTTCCCACAATTAGCCTGTACAGCGAATTGAAATATTAAGTTTCAAGAAATTGCAATCAAACTATCAACACATTTTCAATTCGTAGATTTCATATTTATTCAAGCAATATATTTTAAGATATGTTATCAATAAAAAATAAAACGTAATGGCTGTTTTACACGACTGCCTTTCACGAAATCACCCACAAATGTGCCCGACCTTGGCAGGTCTCAGCTCAGCCAAAGTCGAGGCTGGTGAGCACTTGGATGAGTGACTAGCAGAGGGCTTCTCCGGTGTTGTCTGTGTGGGGCTGCAACACCACCGTATTGCATGGGTTTTCTCTACATGGGAGTCAAGCACTCACTCAGAACTCAGAATCATTATTTATTCTGGAGGAATCCAATGAACTCTGCAGCTCTTTCTCACTGGCCAACGGTCCCAATGACAGGACCCCTCCTGAAAGAGACTTGAGAGTCAGGAAGGCTTCCATTGGGTTCATAATTGGCATCGTTATTATAATTGAGTGCACGTGCATCATCAGCTGTCTTTGATTGACTGACATGAGATAATAGAGGCCAAGGCCATATCACCTCATGTCAGTCACAGCTGCCACACACACTTTAACATTCTGCTTGATAATGGTGACTATCATTGCCAACGAAAACTTTACATTCTCCATCATATTTTTACTTTACATAGTGTAATAAATAAACATTGATTATTAATAATCCAACAATGCATTAATTCATCGATGCTTAAGCTCACAACGCATGCATTAAATCACTTGTGTAATAATCGATGGTGGAATGGGTTCGTGTGACCCATGCAACCGAGAGAGGCTGCTACAACCACCAGTATTTACAAGGAGAACCGACTCCTCAATAAAATCACGAGTTCGTTAAATCGCTCACGGGTGTGGAACCGTGACACCCATACAATAGACCATTCCTGACCCGAATGATTTCTGTGAGCTTGGTTTGTTTTTCCATGAGGCTGGGGTCGACAGCCGGGGTAGGTGGTTGGGTAGTGGGCCAATTGCATGAGAATCATTGCAACGGGCGGCGTGAGGTCTGAACCACAGGAAATCCCAGATTGGGAAATTTGTCCACAGTTACAGGGGAATTCAGAAAAAATATATTTAACGAAAATATGTTCTTTTCAGGGCTTCACTGTGGCAAAAAGGGTTGCTTTTAGGCTCTTCTGTCCAGGGGTTTTGACCCATGTTTATCCAAACATATCTGGCAGCCCTGGGATTACAAATCACGCTCAAAGACTCCATGCTGGTACATGAGCCTTTGGGGGTGGGGGATGCTTACACCGAATACACTGGACAAATTTCACAGTTTCAACCAAATTGCTCAAATAATGACACATTATTGCCCACCGCGTATCTCTTGAATGCACACGGATGAGATAACAATGCCCTCAAAGCAACATTTAACACAATAAATTATTTACTTTGCAATAGGTTTTCAATTCAGCACAGCTAGAAAAAAAACAGTGAATCCCTGCCAAATGTATATTAAAATTTTTTGCGATTGCAAGAACAATCTTATGCTGAACTGCAATAATACACCAATCATAACATTGCCAAGCAGTAAAAACAAGTCCTCCACCCAAGGAAAACAATGCATATGCCAAACCTCCTCTCCATCCAGGCAGAGGCTTCCCAAGGAAGCCATCTAGAAAAATCTTGTTGTAAACAATTTCCTTAAACTACGGCTTTTTTTCTCTCCGAACGATGAGCCAATCATAGTTCGTTTTTCCTGTTATGTAAGATTGTCTTTAATATGCATAATTTATTCTTTAAAGCACAATGCACTTAAAAACTACTAAAAACTATAAACTATTTAAATTTTACCAGGTAAGGCCCACTGAGCTACATAGCTCTTTTTCCAGAAGCGACCTGGCAACAAATGATAGCTCAACGAAGTGGCTTATCACGTCGGACATTTATAGCACCCAAATAGTCTAAATTCAAGTTTCTAAATTTGGAGGAAAAAAAACGGAGGACCTGGAGAAAAATCTACGTGACCATGGGTAGAGAGACATGCAAACTCCAAATATACCGGCATGAGGGTCGGGATCGAACCCACGGTCCAAGTCAAACAATTTGAACTGTTTAACCTGGTCAAGACAGGAAGCATTCTTAAGGGGGGATAGGGTTGCAGCAAGGACAATTTATGGATAAAGGGAGTTGAAATCGGATCACATGAAATAATCCCCGTGTTTCGATGCCACTCCGTGTCACATCATACGTCCAGTACCTCAGGTCCAAAATAAAATCTGCATTGTATTAATACGATTCATAATAATAATTTGGTGTTAATATTTGACACGGAACTTTTAATGTTCTATATACATGTGTTGGTGCAGAAAAAACAATACAATCATAAAAATGAACAAAAGATCCACAAGACACATTCATAAATTGTAAATTTCATTAGACCCAGTTAGAACTCGGCTCTTTTCTTTTGCTGATGCAGTAGGAATCATCTTCTTGGTTCTTTCGGTAAAGTCACGTAGAAGGAAAATAATAAAAAGAAGCCATATAAATAATAAAATAATTCTCATTTGTGAGAATAATTTTATTATGTTTTATTTTAATTCTTTTATTATTTCCCTTCTACGTGACTTTACCGAAAGAACCAAGAAGATGAATCCCTGCAGTCACGAAAGCTTTAAATCGAAATCAGTAGGAACCACTTGTCTCATCTCGCACTTCCAATTAGCACGGTTGGCTACGTACGGTGTGAAAGACGTTCAGCATCCATACATACATGATCTGACACGCACCACACACCCCTCGGACCAGAGGTCTCATGAGACCCGTTTATCTCATTATACTGTGATATTAAATCAGAAGGTACATCCGAATCTGCGCATTCTTACTTTGTTTAGCAGGCAAATATTACTTATTCAATAAATATACCGTAAAATAAACTGCTCCTTCGTTCATCCACTGCTGGAGAAAAGCCTTACCCATGTTATGTAAATCACAGGGCTTGTTTGACCTTACTTCACCACACTGGTTAGATCTTGATGGAGAAAGTCAGGGGTGACCAGGACCAGTTCAGATATCACTTGGCAATGACAATGGCTCTAGCAGCTGTAGCCGGGAATAAAAGTCAAATCCAGAATCAAAGTCATATTGTTGAGTTCATATCACTGTGCGATACCCACTGCACCACTGCTCCCCTTTCTTTCAATCGTCCTTCATGGGTTATGCATGGAAACACTCGTTTCATGTTGTTACAATGGATTTTAATATAAAACCTATTGTAAGGCAAATGATTTATCATCGATAAATTGTCGTCTATCCTTGTGTATTCAAAACGTAGAACATTGTGCTGCATTCTTGTATTGTTATTTTAAGAATAAACTTGAAACCGCCTGTGAAATATCATGAAGTAAAACCACCCCAAAGGCCCCTTACACCAGCAGACTGCCCTCCCGTGTTCCCACTGGCTAGAGATGACGATAGCGAGCCAAGCAATGTAACAAATAACATAAAAGTCAAGTCAAGTTAATTTATAAACGTGCGTTTAGATTATTGAGATTATTTAGCTGCTATACATTTCCACATGATAAGCCACTTCGTTGAGCTATCATTTGTGGGCAGGTCGCTTCCGAAAAATAAGCTCATAGCTCAGGATCAGAATCAGAATATTTATTTATACTGCAGGAGGAATCTGATGAGCTATGAAGCTCTTTTTCACAGATGTCCAGTGGGGGCGGTTAAGAACGTTACAACAAGTAATACAAAAACACAATAGCTCAGTGGCTTTACCTGGTAAAATTAAATAGTTTAAGCTTTATTGGTATATTTTGGTGTGATT